AGATTGCATTGCTTAGGGTATATGTCCTTACCTATTGAATTTAACAATAATTTCAGAGTGATTAACTTTTATGTTGTTGCACAAATAACTTCACCTATAATTCTAGGTGTTGATTTTTGGCAGGTGTTTGACTTAGGGAGTGACCTTGTATCCGAAGTACAGTTTGACCGAAAGTCGGAGTCATCAATATGTAATAGCATAAATTCGGTTTCTCTTAATAAAGGCCTTGAAGAATACGAGTCTTTATCCATAGAACAAAAACAAATCATGGATAAGTTAGTCCAACAGTTTGATACAATTAACACAGTTAAAGTAGGTTTGGGACGTACCAATTTAATTCATCACGTCATAGACACAGGGGATAGCAAACCTATTAAGCAAAGGTACTATCCATTATCACCTGTTAAGCAACTAGCACTTGAAAAAGAATTGGATAGAATGCTTAGTTTGGGAGTTGTGTCACTTTCACAGTCAGCTTGGAACTCACCTGTAGTAATGGTTCAGAAGCCAAATGGGGACCTAAGGCTTTGTCTAGATTGTAGAAAATTAAATGCAGTTTCCAAACCCGATGCGTATCCTCTCCCGTATATAAGCAGCATTTTGGACCAGCTCCGCGACGCGAAATACCTAACGTCAATAGATCTTTCCGCTGCGTATTGGCAAATACCCTATGATAGCGAGCAATCAGCTGATAAGATCGCGTTCACAGTGCCACGTAGGGGGTTATTTAGATTCAATGTAATGTCGTTTGGCCTTGTTTCCGCGTCAAGCACAATGCAGAGATTAATGGATAGTCTATTTGGTCCCGAATTTAACCACAAAGTATTCTGTTTCCAAGACGACATAATCATAATATCCAGCACTTTCTCAGAACATGTGCAGCTCTTGCATAAGGTCTACGCAAAACTCAGGGACGCAAACTTGACTATAAACATGGATAAGTCTATCTTTTGCCGTAGAGAACTTAAGTACTTGGGATATTTAGTTGACAAACATGGACTTAGAACTGATCCGGGAAAGGTAGATATTATATTGAATTATCCAACTCCAACTTCCGCTAAAGAGGTTAAAAGGTTTCTAGGCATGGCAGGCTGGTACAGGAGGTTCATTAACAATTTTTCGAAAATTAGTAAACCGTTGAATAAATTAACTAGCAAAAATGTCCGCTTTGAATGGACTACGGAGGCAGATGAGTCATTTAACCACTTAAAAACCGCTTTAGTGTCTGCTCCGATACTTAAATGTCCAAACTTTGATTTGCCTTTTTCTATCCATTGTGACGCTTCCTCAGTGGCTGTGGGCGGAGTCTTAACCCAGACTTATGACGGGGTAGAACATACCATAGCATACTGCAGTCGGTCTCTTGCCAAAAATGAAATTAATTTTTCCACATCGGAGAGAGAACTTATGGCCGTGATTTGCGCATTAGAGCAATTTAGATCTTATGTAGAAGGTACAAAGTGTAAAATAATAACCGACCACGCCTCGTTATTATGGTTTTATAAATTAAATAACCCATCAGGTCGCTTAGCCAGGTGGAGCATGCGATTGAGTCAATTTGATTTCGAAATAGAACACAGAAAAGGTAAATTAAATGTTATTCCAGACGCACTAAGTAGGATTCAAGTTGATGCAATCGCTACGCCAGCAACCAGTGATGCGTGGTATAGACATGTATACGAAGATTGTCAGGCCAACCCTCGCAAATATCCGCACTTCATGGTAAAAGACGATAGATTGCTTAGGTACTCTAAAAATAAATATGAGTTAACGAATGAGTTTAATTGGAAGTTAGTGGTACCCGAGGAAGACAGGTTAGATATTTTAAAGAAATGTCATGATGAACCAGTTAGTGCTAATTTGGGTGTCTTTAAAACCCACAAGCGTCTTAGTCTTAATTATTACTGGCCCAGCATGTACCGAGATGTGAAAGAATATGTTAAAAAATGCGAGATATGTAAACAATACAAACCCGTCAACACGGCTAGACCTGGTTTAATGGGAAACCCGAAGGAGGTTAACAAACCCTGGGAGGCCATATGTTGCGATTTGCTAGGCCCATTTCCGGTTTCTCGCAATAGGAATATTCACTTAATTGTATGTACAGACTATTTTAGCAAGTATGTCATGTTGCATCCTATACGGATCGCAACAGGCGCTGCGGTCGCTAAGTTCATAGAAGAGAAAGTGTTCCTAGTACATGGCGTATGTAAGACTATCTATATTGACAATGGCCCACAGTATGTGTCTAATCAGTTTAGGCAACTGTTACATAAATATAACGTACCGAATATCTATTATAACCCGCGTTATCACCCACAGGTAAATCAAGCCGAAAGAGCGATTAGGAACGTAGTTAACGGTATATCATGTTATGTAGGTACCGAGCATAAACGATGGGACGAGAACATCCCACAGTTGCAATGCGCACTTAATTCAGCCGTGAATGATACCACTAAGTTTACTCCGTATTTTCTTGTGCACGGACGGGAATTCATAATAGTTGGAATGTTACACAGCTTAGATAGCCCTCAGCCAGTTCAAAGATCACAAGTAACTCTCGGTGAACCACAAGCATACAGTAAAAAATTAGCGGAATTAGACACCATATTTAAAAAGGTACAAAAGCATATTAAAAATGCTCATTCTAGAAATGAAAAGTACTATAACTTAAGAAAACGACATGTTGAGTTAAAAGTAGATCAGATTGTATATAAACGTACCCATTACCTATCTAATGCCTCAAAGAGATTTACGGCTAAACTAGCACCAAAATTTCAAAAATGTGTCATAACAGCGAAATTATCACCTTTAGTGTATACCTTAGCCAGCATGGAAGGTAAGACACTAGGTAATTTTTACATAAAAGACATCCTTAAACAAGATGACTAATAGTTTTGTAGAATGTGAGTGATGAGTATGATTGAGTGAAAGAATGTAAGAATAATAAACATTTTCAAAATTCATTTCCACCGGTGAACTTTCTGAGATAAATAAGCTGTGATTGTATTGATGAACGAGCGATACATAACTAGTAGGTCATCTTATGTTGTGAACATCGGCGCGAGTTAGATAAGAATTTGTTCTTTATGTCCGCACTCTGGACATTATATAAGAAAATGCATACCAGCCAGTGCGTAGCATTACTTAAGCTGTTTCTTTTAACTTAATATGATTAAACGTTAATTCACTTAACTTAATGCGAGATAGATATTTAACTTAACTTAATACTTAATATGATTTCCAAATCACTTAACTACTCAACTTAATAAATAAGAACACGTTCGTTTTTCGACTACTTAGAGAAAAGTCGAGTCGAAACGTAAACATCGTGTGTAGGCTTAGTGCACTGTAGGTATTCGTTTCTGTCCCGTGATGTTACGTCACGCACCGCATGAATGGTAATCACAGAACACTAATACCCTTAGGCGGGTAATAGACTATTCGCGCGTAGGATTCGGGAACTTAATTATTCATAGGCGGTTGTATTTCATTATTGTAAAAACATGTAGGAATAAATGTAAATAAAGTTGCATGCCATTAGGTTAATATAGGTATAACAATTAGTGTAGTATTTTCTAACTTACAACACAAGTAGGTAAACTTGTGGTAGTGTTTTTTTTTTGTGTTAACAACACAAGTAGGTAATTACATTTTGAGGTTAAATTGTTTAGTGGAATATAATGTTACTAGGTATACAGATACAGAAATGAAAATTAGGTAATAAGTAGAGTAATAATGAGCCTTGTGTAAGATTAAACGTCGTAATTAAGTGATTAAGTGATGGCTTGGTACTTGTTAGTTGTTGGTGCATGGGTGACTTGGAATTTACTACCCGTGCGAATTTTTTTAGCCAGATTGGATTAGAGACGCATTACAACTTCTTCACTGTCTTTGGTATTCAGTCGTTGTTCTGCAGGTGGCACGAAATGTCTTCGGAAAAAGTATCTTCATTGCGAAGAACTTTTTAACCCAAGCAAAGGGGATGTGTAACACGAAAATTTTCGTGTACATTATTTTAGCATATTTACGTCATTACATGCGATGAACAGACTTCAGAGCGCCATCTAACGTCATTAGTCCGAAGTAACTAGAAACGTATATTGACGAATCGAGCTAGCTAATTGCATGCAATTGACCTTTCGTGTTAGTTCGAAATCCTACCACGGATCGACGGTGGCGTGTAGCCCAAGGGAGGCCTAGTTCTTTTTGGAGCAAGCCGTTGTAATGATCGGACACGCACATATATAATTTTTGAATCGAAACGCCGGAACATGAATTTAAAGTAACGACTACTTGGGCGTACGGCCCCTTAAACACAATGTCTACGGGCAGTTTAATGTGTTGAAACACATCATCCCATAAATTGGGTCCTTAGTCCTTAGTCCTTAGTCCTTAGTCCTTAGTCCGTACTTTGAGTATGGTCCATTATCAAGTTTAACAATGTGAACAAGGCGAGGCAGCTTCAACGGGTGGCTATATTGGGATTGGGCGGCCAGGAGACCGCGACCGGCGTACACCTGGAGGATATCTGTTGCCTCACTGCTTCGCGGGATTGACCATAAACAGTGTAATATTGTGTAATCCACCAGGTTAGTCAAAACCTCAGTTCGTAGGGTATTTTAAAGTGAAAACTTGATATTTGGAGCTATACATGTGAACTTTAGAAGGAAATAAACTATTTTTTGGCTGTATATGTATCTTTGCATTTTCATTTACTAATCATCCAACAACAGGCGCCCTGGGATACTTTTATTTTGATCTTCGAGTCCCTTAACTCTCCGATAACCGTAGCCGGTGAGTAACGCCCTAAAAAGAGTGTTATAAGGTTAAATCATAGATTTCGGACTTCCTATAAAGTTTGCGGTCTCCTTAGTAGTACCTATAGAACAGAACGCACAGTACTTTTTATATATACTAGGATATAATTACTATACTGTTTGCTTAGTAGTCTGTGGACATAGACTAATATATTGTCTGTGAATAGTCTAAGTGTCTATGGTCTAACCTTTGTTTGTATTTCTTTGATACCTAGTTTTTCTTCAATCTGGATTGGAATTTGGAAATGAAATATTTATTTTAATTTATAATAATGGCTGGCACATTAATTCGTGAGCTACATTACTATTAAATAACATTTAAAGTTTTCATAACAATGTTTTAATGTGAAGGAAATATATATTAATTGTTTATTTTTAGGTTCGCTATTTACCAATTTATCACTTTATGGAACCAATGCTACAAATTTGGTAAGTGCATGTCTCTGATATTAAAACGACATAAGTTTTTAGTATAAAAATAAGTCATCAGTAAAAAAAATAAACTGCAAAAAAATATTAACATTTTTCTTTCAGAGATCAGTACATACTTCTGCTGTATATTATGCGGCAAGAAAAGGCACCAGAGCGAAGGCTCGTGCCAAGAAAGTGAAAGTGGAGATTACTAAAGTAGGATTCATTCCTCATAACCAAAGAGGAAAGAATAAGTAAGTTTACTATTTGAATTTAAAACCTTTTATTTTGGTGTACCATGTCGTGGCACTGAGTGGTACTGTGTTGGCTATGGAATGCCGGAAAGATCTCAAATAGCTTTGGTGCATATCTATTTCCTAGCTGTGCTCCGTGGTTTCACACGTCTGACCCACTCAACATGGCACTTCGCTCATATAGGTGTTCACTGTTGGTTTCTCTCAGTTCTCATTAGGTGGCTAGGGTGATTCACAACCAATTGTTGAATTATTTAAATTGCATGCAGCATGTCATTTGAACGCAGTTTAAGAGAATGAAACATTCTCTTAAACTGCGTTCAAATGACATGCTATAAAGAGCAAAGTTTAGCTCCATAATATTGTTTTGATGATGAAGTAACTTTTTTTCGTAAGTATTATTAGTATTGATAAATGCCTAATAATACATACACATAATGCCATGCCTAATAATAACGCTCATAAATCACTTTTTAATTTTCAATGTTTTTGTCACAAAGTACCTTATTTTGGCTTTGTTGTTGTAATAAGAAATAGGTATATGGTATCACTGATTTTTTAGCCAAATACTAGATAGCTTATACTATTCCTCGTAAATCTAGCCATCACTGGTAGTAAACAAAAAAACTTCTGATTTATTATATTATTAGTATTGATAAATGTCTATGCTATATAATGCTGCCTTTATAGGGCTTTCGGTGCTAGATCTAGCACTTTTTTATCAGTGTAGCGTGCATCTAAAAATATTGGCACCCAGCAGATAATTTTCTTCTTTCTTTTTTATGGCGGTTTTTGATTATTTGCCAATGTCAGTGTGGAAGTGTTTATTAAATACAAGCTCAGTAGTTACAAATACTATGCCCATGTACTAAAGAAGATTGTGATAATACATGTATCTTATTCTTATTTATTTAAACAATTAAATTTTCCTTTTTATCTTTTAATACTAGTGGTTGTACTGTTGAATTACCTAGAACAAATGACAAACACAGTTGCTAGAACTACCTAGTCAGGTCAAGTATTGTCACACAGTAAAAACTTTTCTTTTAGAATGCTGGCCACAAAAAAGTTTATTGAATTCGAATTTCGAATTGTTCATGAAAATAAAACTGTATACTTTTTAGAATTTTACTCATTTTTAAATATGGAGTGGACGCTTAAAGAAGACCATGTTGCAGTTATTGCGTTGCATAGTTGCGGTTACGCGTCAATTCAAATTTTTGACATACTGAAAAATTTGAATATAACCAAAAGATTCGTTTATTGTACCATCAAACGATACAATGAAGACTCTAGTGTAGATGACAGGTCAAGAAGTGGTCGCCCTCGGTCTGTTAGGACTCTAGCAGTGATAAAAGCTGTGAAGGCGCGAATTCAAAGAAATCCCAAACGTAAGCAGAAACTGTTGGCCCTTCAGATGGGGTTAAGCAGGACCACGGTGAAAAGGGTGTTAAATGAAAACTTAGGGCTTCGGGCATATCGAAGAAAAACAGGACATCGTTTGAATGCTCGTCTAATGGACCTGAGACTGAAGAGATGCTGCGCTTTATTAAAGCGGTACGTGGGAAAAAAATATTGGGAAATTCTTTTTTCGGATGAAAAAATTTTTACCGTAGCAGAGAGCTACAACAAACAAAATGATAAGGTGTACGCACACAGTAGTGAAGAAGCGAGCAACCGTATTCCGCGTGTCCAACGAGGTCATTTTCCATCCTCGCTCATGGTATGGTTGGGAGTTTCTTATTGGGGCTTAACAGAGGTACATTTTTGTGAGAAAGGTGTAAAAACGAATGCAGTTGTGTATCAAAATACAGTCCTGACGAACCTTGTGGAACCTGTTTCTCATACCATGTTCAATAACAGGCACTGGGTATTCCAACAAGATTCGGCGCCACCTCATAGAGCGAAGAGCACACAGGACTGGCTGGCGGCGCATGAAATCGACTTCATCCGGCACGAAGACTGGCCCTCCTCCAGTCCAGATATTGACATGGACCTCGTTCGTGCTGCGATAGACGACTGGCCGCGCAGATTGAAGGCCTGTATTCAAAATCACGGAGGTCATTTTGAATAAACTTTAGTGTCATAAGAATCTATGTTTTGTTAAGTTCATTTTGGTATATAAATGGTTACATAATGAATAAACTTGTTTCAATTATTTTATATTAAACATGTGACAGAATTTATGACCTGACTAGGTACATTAGTATGTTAGTATTGACAAACATTAAACTTTTATACTATTAGGCCCAATTCCCCCCCCCCCCCCCCCCATCAACATGGTAGCGGAATTACACGCAAGACTACCCCAGGAGGGTACCAGCACCCCTGGAGAATCCCTCGCTGAGCATCCACGACCATGTTATTCCAATCCTGAGCGTGTGTGCTCAGGCTGTCCCGCGTATTCTGGGGGGGGCAAAATTCCGCTCAAAAACATAACTGCTCGGGGCAAACTGAGCAACAATTCCAAGGCGACCCCTGCCACGCTATCCGTGAATTTCTGCAACATCAGGGGACTTCACTCTAACCTAAACGCCGTCCACTACCATCTCGAGACGGCGAAGCCGGCCTTGCTCTTTCTGACCGAGACGCAGGTTTCCTCTCCGGCTGATATTTCGTATCTCTCCTGCCCGGGGTACAAACTGGAGCACTCCTTTGTGCCTCGGGCTGGAGTTTGCGTGTATGTCAGAGAGGACATCTGTTCTCGACGCCTCGGCAGTCTTGAAGGTTCGGACCTGTCCATCCTTTGGCTACGCGTAGACAGCGACGACCATCCGCGCGTCTACGGGTGCCTCTATAGGTCCCATAGCGGAAATGCCGAAACAGACTGACTCATCGACCACGTCCAAATGGCTACAGATTCCTGCTACAACAGGTCCCATCCGCAGAGATCGTGATCCTTGGCGATTTTAACGCCCACCATGCCAAATGGCTCGGTTCACGTTTAACCGATCATGCGGGGAGATCTGTTTATGACTTTGCCTTGGCATATGGTCTGACACAACTGGTTACTTCGCCTACGCGGATTCCAGATGTGGAGGATCATACACCTTCCCTGTTGGACCTTCTGCTGACCTCTCATCCGAACGGATATCAGGTTTCCGTCGATGCCTCTCTCGGCTCTTCGGACCATTATCTGATCCGGAGTGTGGTGCCACTCACGCTCCCTCCGCGGTTGCATTCTGCAGGTTGCCGCCGTGTTTGGCATTACAGGTCGGCGGATTGGGATGGAATGCGGTCTTTCTTTGCATCCTACCCGCGGTTTGCTTCTCGCCGGATGATCCCAGCGCTGTTGCTGACTCTGTCACTGATGTGGTGCTACAGGGAATGGAACTATTTATTCCATCATCTGTGGTACCCATCGGAGGCAGATCTCAGCCTTGGTTTGGTCGCTCCTGTAAGACTGCATTACGCAGTAAGCAGGAGTGTTATCAAGCCTGGGCTGCGGCTTCGGCGACTCGGAATGTAAACACCAGCACACTTAAAAAGAAGTATAACTTCGCCTCCAGGTCCTTCAAAAGAGTTATTGCCAAGGCAAAGTCAGAGCACATAGGCAGAATTGGCGAGAAACTAGTTCGCCTTCCTTCGGGAACCCGTGCATTCTGGTCTCTCGCCAAGGCTGTCCAAGGGAATTTCTGTAAGCCATCACTACCATCTCTGCACAGGGAGGACGACTCACTGGCTCAAGATGCAAAAGACAAAGCTGACCTTTTAGGCTCCCTTTTTGCGTCCAACTCGACTCTTGATGACGGGGGAAAACACCGCCGACCATCCCGCGGTGTGAGTGCTCCATGCCGGATGTGCTGTTCTCACAGAGCTCGGTTCGCAAAGCACTTCTCTCCCTGGACATCCAGAAGTCGAGTGGGCCTGACGGAATCCCCCCAATTGTGCTGAGGACGTGTGCTCCGGAGTTGGCACCGGTCCTAACGCGTCTTTTCCGGTACTCCTACTTCCAAGGCGTAGTCCCGAATTCATGGAAGATAGCTTTTGTCCACCCGATCCCTAAAAAAGGCGACCGCTCAGACCCGTCCAACTATAGGCCTATTGCGATCACCTCCTTGTTCTCCAAAATAATGGAATCCATTATTAACTGCCAGCTCATCCGGTACCTTGAGGATCACCAGCTGATTAGTGACCGCCAATACGGTTTTCGTCAGGGTCGATCAGCTGGTGATCTTCTGGTCTACCTGACCCATAGATGGGCGGAGGCAGTAGAGTCCAAGGGGGAGGCGTTGGCCGTTAGTCTGGACATTGCGAAGGCCTTCGATCGGGTTTGGCACAAAGCGCTTCTTTCGAAGCTCCCTTCCTATGGGCTTCCCGAGAAATTGTGCAATTGGATCACCAGCTTCCTTGCAGATCAGAGCATCAACGTCGTTGTAGACGGTGCATGTTCTGACTACAAGCCTATTAACACTGGTGTTCCACAAAGCTGTGTGCTATCACCAACGCTGTTTCTTCTGCATATCAATGATATGTTGCTAACTGGTAACATTCATTGCTATGCGGATGACAGCACTGGTGATGCTCTATACACCGGCCGTGCCAACATTTCTCGGGAAAACGTCGCCGAATACCGGAATAAACTTGTGTCTGAAGTCGAGTCTTTGCTGAACAAAGTCTCGGATTGGGGGCGACTAAATCTAGTCCAGTTTAATCCTCAGAAGACAGAAGTTTGCGCGTTTACCGCTAAAAAGAACCCCTTTGTCGTATCTCCTCAGTTTCAAGGCACTCCCCTTCTTGCCTCAGCCAGTATCGGTATCCTCGGAGTCGACATATCGAGTGACGTGCAGTTTCGTGGTCACTTGGAAGACAAGGCCAAATTGGCCTCTAAAAAGCTGCAGAGCGGGACAGTATTTCATGCCGGCACACCGCCTGCAACTTTACAAGGCGCAGGTTCGGCCTCACATGGAATACTGTTCCCATCTCTGGGCAGGAGCTCCCCAGTGCCAGCTCCTTCCACTTGACCGCATCCAGCGCAGAGTGGCTCGAATCGTCGACGA